TGCGACTTTTTTGAGCCCACAATCAACCATCTATGTTAATTGGTGATTGATTTCAAATCATGTACACACTTCCACTCATGTCAATGTCCATGAATGTAATGCAACCCATGCATAATGCAATTCAATGTGCAATTGCCTTTGATATTATTTACAATGTCCATTACATAAAAAATGTAATATAATGATATTTTCAATATGACAACATGTTTAATAATTCTATAAACATAAACACAAGTCCACCACAATAATCATATGCTAAATAATCATTTAACATACATATTATTATATAATCCAATAACAAGTTAATAATTTTATTAAACTTGATATGCCATTTAAAATATAAAATAATGCTAATGTACAATTAACATGCTTTAAACCATTAACATTAACTTACACCAAGTTAATTATAGTAGGATTTTACTAATTACAAGATTAATTATAAATCTTATATTTGACCCATTAGTTACACTAGTCAAGACCTAACATGTGATATACACCCATAGCTTATCCATTTCATATGTCATATTTTATGTTGAAATTAAATCTAAATAGGGTAAACCCTACCTCTCGTAGCATGAGGTCACGTACTGGAACTCCGAGGAAGCACAAATTTATCTTTCCAAACCTTAGGCCTAGATTATCGTCTTTGATATTTGTTTAGAGAAAAATATAATATTTGGTGTGGTTGCGTAGCTCTCGCTGAGTAGAGCAACTTTAGTTCTTCATCTGAAACGATTAAACGGTCCAATCTTCGTAGATCTGAGGAAGAAGAAAAGAGAAAAATAAAAAAAAATACTCATTTTTCTCTCTCTCATTTTCTGTCTCACCGTCTCTGGAGAACAAAGCAAAAAGTAGAAGACAAAGTCTTCCACTTATATATATATATATAGTATAAGTTTTTTTTTTTTTAGAAATTTATATTTTTGACCCGCAATTTAACAATTAATTATTATTTTACACATTTAATTAAGTTTTTTAATAATAATAATAATTTTTTTTTCGGGTTTTACACCCCTAGCTCCACTGCCCATTTAGCAACTTGTTCAAATATGTCAGCTTTATGAAGTATTGATTTAAGGGGCCGATCGATCAATACTTCAATGGGATGAGTCTGAAAATAATGTTTGAGCTTCCTTGTCGAGATCACTAGAGCTAGTATAAACTTCTCCATCAACAAGTATCGGGTTTAGGCATCAAACAAGGTCTTGCTTACAAAGTAGATAGGTCTCTACACCCTATCATGCTCTCTTACTAGAGCCCCATTAACTGCTCATTCCGAGACAGATAAGAAGAGTTTTAACACTTCACCCGCTGCCCGAACAGATAAGGTTAGGGGTACCTAAGATACTCTTTAATCCCCTCAAGTGTTCGATCACATTCCTTACCCTACGTACCTCTTGCCACCCCTTTGAGGATGGCTAAGAATGGTTTACACCTGTCCGAAGACTTGGAGATGAACCGGTTGAGGGCAGCTAGCATTCTGGTCAATTTTTGAATATTTTTGGTAGTCTTCGGCGCCTGGATACTCTGCACGGCCTGTATCTGCTCGGGGTTGGCCTCTATGCCCCTATGGGTGACCAAGTACCCTAAAAATTTGCTTGAGCTCATCTCAAAAGCACACTTCGAGGAATTGAGCTTCAGGTCGTATCTCTAGAGCACGGCGAAGGCGGTTCCGAGATCCCGGAGATGGTCAGACCTCTTTCTACTCTTAACTAACATGTCATCAATATACACCTCCATAATGACTCCGAGTTGTTGATTAAACATCTTGTTCATCAAGCGTTGATAAGTGAAACCAACATTCTTCAATCTGAATGGCATCACTATGCAACAATATATCCCATAGGGTGTGATGAACGCCGCCTTCTCGTGATCCGATTCATGCAAGAAAATTTGATGATAACCTGCTCGAGCGTCCATAAAGAAGATACGTTCATGACCCGCGGTCGCATCAACAAGCTGATTAACCTTTGGTAGTGGATACTTATCTTTGGGACATGTCTTATTCAAGTCCGTGAAATCCATGCAAATTCGTCATTTTTTGTCCTTCTTCTTTGCGCATATCGTGTTTGACAACCACTCGGAGAACTGGACTTCCCTGATGGACCCCGCCTCGAGTAACTTGTCTACCTCTTCATCCACTGTCTATGCGTGATGGGGTGTCGTCCTCTGAGCATTCTGTTTCACGGGTTTGAAGGTTGTGTCCACATGAAGCCGATGACATATCACTCTTGGGATTTATTCCTATCATTTTGACTTGGGTCCACGCAAAGACATTTGCATTCTAACAAAGGAAGATTATCATGTCAGACTTCTCGGTGCCGCCTAATGAAGCCCCTATTAAAAAGAACCTCTCCTTGTCCTTGGGACTCGGAAGGATCTTGACCAGAGCCTCCGTAGATCCATCTGTCGGATCCATAATTGGGTCATCCATACTAGGTTGACCAAACTATGATTGTTATTTAGCCAACATTGTCTCGGGGTCATGATCTTGGGCTCGGACATTGAACCTGGTTATTACTGCGAAGTAAAAATAGCTTTTTGATGAAGCTTGATAGCCACGAATCTCCATGACACCCTTTGGGGTGGAAAACTTTATCTCCTGATGTTAGGATGAATGCACTGCCTTCATTGCATGTAACCATATCCTACCCATGATGGCACTATATGGAGAATCAGAGTCTATCACCACGAATTCTACTGGGATGGTAATGACCCTGGTAGTAACCATGAAAGTAATTTTGTTGAGGGAGGTGCATGAACCATTAAAACCCACGAGGGGGTCTTTATTGGTTTCAAGTCTTTATGGGTGAACTCCATCTTGCGAAAGAGGCTATCATACATGACCTTAGACAACTGCTCGAGTCCACCGGGATCCTCTTGATAACAAACTTGTCGATCCAAAGGGTGATTACCAAAGTGTCTTCACGTGGGAGTACTAGCTCACCAAGGTCGACATCGGAGAAGTGGATAATCTCGGCATCGAGCCGAGGTCTCTTAGATGATTGGCCCCCATACTTGTTTTCCTCCACCTTCATATCTTGCGAGACCCTCTGGAGGTCGGCTCAGAGTGAATAATACATGGGTCTATCAATTGTGCAAGTATGTATTATTTCAATCTCAGTCGCCGCTTCCTGGGATACGTCAACCCCTTCCCTTGCCAAGCCTCTTAAGGACTTGTTATCAATGAACTCTCCGAGGTTTCCTTCTCGAACCAATTGCTCGAGGAAGGACTTGTATACCCTACAATCTTCAGTTAGATGCCTCACATCTCGATGATAAGAACACTGAGATGTCGAGTCCCTAGAGGATGGATCTCCTTGCATCTTTGGGGGCCACTTAAAGAAAAGATCCTTCTTTATCTTGTGCATCATCTTGTAAATGGGTTCTTTGAAGACCTTGTTTACCCCTTGAAAAGACAGTTGGCTCAGAGCCGGGGTGATGCCCCCCTCTGTGCAGACGGTTCTCTATCTCGTTTCTTCGGCAGTAGGGCCCTTTTCTTGGGTATAGTCAACTCTTCCTCTATTCTGGCATACTTGTTTATCTGAGTCATTAAGTCCTTTGTGTCTACCGGAGCTCATTTGGTAAGAGATCGGTGTCTCGGGACAATCCTAGCCAAAATATCGCTGCTGCCATGGCCTCCGAGCATGCCTCAACCTCATTAACCTCTTCCTAGTACTTGATTGTGTACTGCCAAAGGGTCTCTCCACTCCTCTGTTTAAGTGTCAGCAAAGTGCCGATATCTTTCGACCTCTTATTGTTGGTGATAAATCGAGTCACAAAGAGTTTGGTCATTTGTTTCCAAGATCTGATACTCTTAGGGGCCAAACTCTCATACCACTTCATAGTAATGTCTCTTAAGCTCATAGGAAAAACTCGGCATAGTAGCCTTCGGTCGGTGTTGTAAATGGACATCAGTTACTTGTATTATCGCAGATGGCTCTCGGGATCTATTCTCCCATCATAAACCTTGAATCGGGGGACGATGAACTTCTTAGGCATCTCATTCTCCTAGATCACCCAAACAAACGGGAAGATGATTTGCTTATCCTTAGCATTTTCATCCTCCCTGTGGTATGATCTTTGGCGCTTGGCGTCCAAGCATGTTCGGAGGTCCTCTTGGGGCCCAGTTTTTCTAGGCCCCCTGGCAGTGGAATTCGTGTGGGACTCTGTCGTCGCGGTAGCCCCCAACAATTTATGGCGGAGACCCAATGAGAAAGGTCTGCCCTACGCCTATCCCCTTCTGATCTCTCCTCGGGAGCAGGCATTTCACCGCTCCAGGCTAGCGTTTCTCGCCTAGGCGCCTGTGTAAGCTCCTATGCGGGGCATCCAACCTTTTACCCATGGAATCACCCAGGTAAATACCTTTGTCTACGATTGGATGAGAATGTCTGAGAACTGGTCGGTTGTATACACCTTGTAGAGAAGCGGATCAATGTAATAGTTCTGAACAAAGTCACTACTACCACCACTAACAAAGTAGATTGAACCAGAGATTATTGTTGAAGCATTGGCTTTCCCTGCAATCCCCACTAGTTTCTTTTGGTACTCCTTGTAATACAGTTGCTTGCTCATGGTATTGTGCATAAACTCCAAGTCAGATTGTATATCATCCTACATGAGTTATTCATGGATAGGAGGGTAGGATTAGGATACCACAGTGTTACTTTTCAGCATCATATCGAGAGTCACAATTTAATCATGGAGATTGAGTGAGTTTTCGACAAAATAAGATAAATTTGAATTGACCCTATGATCAATTTTGGGATAAATTCGAAATGATCTCATTTTTCTGATACTGTCACCAGATCAAGTCAATTTCACCTGACTCGATATATATTGGGCTTTTTTAATAATAATTTTCGATACAATATAATACCCAACTCGATACATAGTCGTTTGCTTACTTACTTACACATACATAATCTGTTGTACTTCAATATATAGTTTTGCTGTAGGTTCATAGGAACCAGAAGCACCAGAGCCAAAGTTGGCACCAATCAGGGGTGATTTCCTCTGGCTTTCTTGCTAAGATATGGCCATGGGTATGAGATGAAGCCTAGGTTCTCAGCTGAAACATTAAGGAAGAAAACAAACTCATTAGAAAACTAAGACACAGACAAATGTAAAGAGAGAGAGAGAGAGGATACCAGTGAAGTCAGAGGCAAGTTTTCCATTACAGAACCGGCCGGTTGGTTTGTGGGTGACTTCGTCTCTTCCGTAAGGAGGGAAGTTGGCTTTGACAATGGTGTAAATGTAATTGTTGTTGCCCACATAAAAAACAGAGTCTCCAAATATGAACAATGCAGGGACCAGGGGCTGCCCATTGACCACACACAACCCCAGAAATGTAAGAAGAAAGGAAGTCCATGAAAAATTTGAAATGCCCATAATGTGTGTGTTTTGTGTGTGTGTGTGTGTGTGTGTGTGTGTGTGTGTGTGTGTGAGAGAGAGAGAGAGAGAGAGAGAGAGAGAGAGGAGAAGAGGACCATGGAGATGGGCTTGTCAGAGGGACAATTTAAAGGACAGCTTGGAAGATGTTCTTAGTGCCTAATTGGGTGGATGGCTACATCAGAAGAAAATTGGCCCTCTTTAGTTTGTATTTCATAAATTATTTTTCTTTTTTTGAAAATAATTTTTTTAAAAAAAATTTATTTGGCCAATTTTTTTTGTTTTTATTTTTTTAAAATTAAGAAATAAAGGTGAGTAGATTTAAAGAATAAGTTATGACTAGTTTGTATATTTTTAAAAACAAAGGTTGTGTTTGGCTTGATTCTTGAAACCTGTTTTTTATTCTTAAAACTTTATAAACAGTGAAAACTCATTGGATTTGAGTTTTTGTTCTCAAGTTTTCGGAATAAAAGTGAGAATTGGGGCAAAAAAATAAAAAAGAAGTCAAACTTGTTTTTAGCTCTTTATGCTAAAAATTTTTAAAACACAAAAAATAAAACTCTTTAACAAGATCTCCCCTTTAAATCCCCTTAACAGCAAAATTAGTAATAGTATACAGGCATTTTTTTTTTTTTTGTCTGCCTGACTCTCTCTCTTTACTTGGCCTCTCAAATAGAACGAACAGAGAGAGAGAGAGCCAGCGTCTTCTCCAAATTTGTGCACTTTGCCTCTCCAAATCTGAACACACACACACACACACAAAGGTGAGTGCACTCTGAGCACTCTGTCTGCACTTTGCCTCTCCAAATCTGAACGAACATTCTTTCTCTCTTTCGCAACAATTGAAGCTTCATATCTACATAGATCTAGTGCGTCTGTGTGACTGTGTGTGTGTGTGTGTTTGTTTGTCTACGTCTACGTCTTTGTGTGTGGGTGTGTGTATTTTGTGGAGACAGAGAGGGGAAAGAAAGATAGAGGTGAAAATTGTGAGTTTTTTAGATTATTTTTCAAATATTTTTTATAATTTTTTGTTCTTTAAAATTATTTTTAAAAATATATAACCAAACTTATTTTCCAATCTAAAATTTTTAAAAATATTTTTTAATATTCTTCTCAAAAACTATTTTTGAATACTGTTTTTTGAGGTGGAAATTAAACAAGCCTTTTTTCTAAAGTTTTGAAAACATCACGACTACATTTATATTTTCATTATTTTTTGAGTTACTGTTCAAACAAGTTTTACTGTTTTCTATTTCATATAACTATATTTGAAATTATATAACTAAACAAGTTTGGGACAGAAAAAATATTAAAACACATTTTTCTAAAATTTTTTCAAAAAATAATTTTTAAATACTATTTTTTGAGATACAAATCAAATAGGACTTTCATAATTTCCCTCTCACTCATACCAAGGCAACCTAGAAAAAAAAAGAATGAAACCCGTGTTTCAGAAATCTTTTGAAGGTGACTAAGTACCATAAACCAACAACATGTGATAGATTTCAAATAATATATATCTATCTGATAAAATTAATGCAAGCATGCATACAGTCGACAGGTTGAATCTACATGAGAGCTTAGGTTCATTTAGAAACGTTGGGACTACCACTAATCAATAGGAATAATAATTCGGTCAAGTTAGTGACAAAAACTAGCTCATCTTTTCGTTAATGTTGGCGGGAAAGTTGTGTTACATATTTTTCTTTATTTTGTGGTCTGTTATACGGATTGTAATATCATTAAATAATTTTTTATTGATTTTGCTAATGTGGATCAAGGAGAAATGGGGTCTTATAACTCTAAAGGGTAGTTTAAATGGTAATAGGAACGAGCTGTAAAAACAAACATCTTGAGTTTGAACTTGACAATTATTTGGAGTTAAATCATGAGAGATTTATTTCTCATGAATATCCTAGTTTTGGCATAAATGGTCTGTATTTGACTAAATCGAAAAAAAAATTAATTAATGTATATATAAATTGGCCAAAACACCGCGTTGAAGAAAAAAAAAGTGGGGTTTGATTTGTCAAAAGGAGTAAATGACTAAATCACTGCACAAAGAATTGGTGGTTGGTTCCAACTAAAGTTCAAGTGGAGTGTCTTGCTGAACTATTGTTTTGAGCTGTCCTAACTTCAAAGACACCTTCCTTGCCTGTAAGCCACATCCAGAATGTCTATAGTATACATATGATTTGGCTTTGGCACATGTATTTGGACCAAATGGACACTCGGTTTGCTGGACTTTTTATTGCAGCGGAATAAAATACTTACCTCTCATCATGTCGTTCAAATTTTGTAACCTTAAATTCTGAATCACGAGCCTTGTTGATCAAACACTCACAAGAAAAACTAAGCACTCTCACTAATACTTTATGGAGGTGTGGGAAAAAGGTATCCAACTTGGCCTACGTTCAGAATAGACTGGCATTCACAAGTCTTTATTTATAGGCAAGTCAGGAATCTCAATCCTTATCATTCAGATAGATTGACTTTATAAGGTTCTTTCCATCAAGGACTCTGAAACTAATATGCTAACCATAACTAACCTGATAACCACAATCTTATAATGGTTAGATTGACATAATCTCAATTACCTGATTTTAACTCAAAATTATCTGTATAATTTATAAATATAATATTATCATAAAAGTAAATGTGGTATATGGGCCACCTCAAGTCTCCTAATGGAGACGTGCTAACATTCTCCCGCTTGACTTACATGACACATCTTAACTTTTTATTGGTAATTGAAATTAGATATAAAATACGACCAAACAATAATTTATCCAAACTTTATTGAGATACATAACACATGAATCATGGCGATTATGTTCTTAGAACGAACACTTCCTTCCATGTATTACTATGCGTCACTTTCTCAAAACTTTGTGGTATTACACTTTATGAATGACTTTCTATAAGTCATTTCGGGTCCAACGGTCCTCATAGACCTATAGCCCCAACAGACTACAAATCAATCCAAACAGATAACAACAAAGTTTATGTGCACAAATAATCATAATATTCATTCTCTAAAAATAACTGAAATTATTGATAAAATAATCAAAGAACAAGATAGTAAACTTAAACACAAGATGAACTAATAAGTCCCATATAATCCACATGACTTTTATACAATTTAGCCTGCAAACCTTTAGTCATGGGATCTGCTAACATTAGCTCAGTGTTAATATGCTCAATAGCCACCTCATGCTTATTAATATGATCTCTGACAACCAAATATTTAATGTCAATATGTTTACTTCGGCTTCCACTTTTGTTATTTTTAGAGAAGAAAATCACAGCCAAATTGTCATAATAAATCTTTAAGGGTCGGGCAATAGAATCAGCAACCTCCAAGCCCTTGATAAAATTCCTCAACCACAATGCTTGTGATGTAGCTTCATAGGAAGCAATGAATTCTGCTTCCATAATAGACAAAGCGACGATGGTCTGCTTAGTGCTTCTCCAAGATACAGGTCCCCCCGCGAGAAGATAAATGTATCCTGAAGTAGACTTTCTAGTGTCTACACATCCAGCAAAATCTGAGTCCGAATATCCAACCACTTCTAAAATGTAAGTGTACTTGTATGTGAGTCTATAATCCTTGATTTTTTGCAGATACCTCATAACTCTTTTAGCAGCCTTCCAGTGCTCAAAGCCTGGATCACTTTGGTATCCACCTAGCACCCCTACTGCATATTCGATATCAGGTCGTGTGTAGACCTGTGCATACATTAAGCTACCAACATCCGAAGCATAGGGTATGTTTTTCATTTGTTCTCGTTCCAAACTATTTTGTGGACATTGTTCCAAACTGAATTTGTCCCCTTTAATAATGGGTGCTACAATATGAGCACAATTTTTCATTCTAAATCTTTACAAAACCTTTTTAATGTAGGCCTTTTGAGACAATCTTAATGTTCTTTTAGATCTGTCTCTATGAATCTCTATGCCAATGACATAAGAGGCTTCAACCATATCCTTCATTTCAAAGTTTTGGACAAGAAATTTCTTAGTTTCATTTAACAAACCCAAGTCATTACTTGTAAGTAAAATATCATCCACATTTAGGACTAAAATGACATGTTTGCTCCCGCTGACCTTAAGGTATATACATTGATCAACAATATTTTCTGTAAAATCATATGAAGCAATCTCATTGTGAAACTTCAAATACCATTGACAGGAAGCTTGTTTTTGTCCATATATAGATTTTCTCAACTTGCAAACCAAATGACTTTATTTATCTTTAAATCCTTCAAGTTGTGTCATGTATACCTCCTCATCAAGATCCCCATTTAGGAATGTCGTTTTCACTTCTATTTGATGTAGCTCTAAATCGAAATGAGCTACTAGGGCCATGATTATCCTAAATGAATCCTTAGAAACTGGAGAAAAGGTTTCATGATAATCGATGCCTTCCTTTTGAATAAAACCTTTGGCTACAAGTCTGGACTTATATCGTTCCATGTTATCAGACTTACCTCTTTTGGTCTTGTAGATCCATTTACAACCAACAACTGATTGTCTTTTTGGTAACATAACGAGATCCCAAACTTAGTTTTGAGCCGTAGATTTCATCTCTGCTTTCATGGCACCATACCAAAGTGTGGAGTCTTCTCCACTTATAGCCTTTGAAAACGAGTTTAGATCATTCTTAGGCCCAACATCAAAGTCACTAGAAATTGTTGGTTTTCTTGTTCTTGAGGATCTTCTTAATTCTGCAGCTTCATCAACTGTTTGTAGATTTTCAGTTGCAGGCTCTAAGTTGACTTCCTCTTGTAGTGGTGGTTCATAAGTAGTTTGTTTATCAAGGATATTGTTATCAATACCTTGAAAAATAAACAACATATCTCTATTCACATGTGTGGAATCCAAATCCCGTGATTCCTTTCACTCAATATTACGAGGATTACACCAATTGTTGTCAATATCCTCAATGAATTTGGCATTTCAAGCTTCAACAACTCTAGGTGTATTTGAGGGACGGTAAA